ATTATACTGGATATCAAACGCACATATAACCACAATAACTGTAGCTAATAAATTCAATAGTTAGGAAGAAAAAAATAAGAAATTATATCTCAATTCATTACTTGAGAAAAAAGCCTTTTGTTAGTCAAAAATGAGATAAGTAGAAAGTATTTAAAAAAGCTTTACCCTCTAAAATTATTTTGTTCTTTCATCACATCTCTTTCAAAGTACTTAATGTAAAATTACTTTTTGTACATATTTCGCACCAAGTGCCTGTATCGCTGACCGACGCTCATCGTTTCCAATCTTTGTTCCCATTTTGCTTGTTCTGCTGTTTCATTAACCAGTTTAATGGATTTTCCAACAACGTAATCTGTCTTCATGGCTTGTAGAATCAAAAATTAAAGGGAGCAGCGCAAGAACTATGCATTTTATCTACGCTTAATCTGTTTAAAGGGGAAAGGTGGAGGGAAGGCTTGGGATGGAGAAGGGACTGGCATGGGATCAAGCCCATGTAAGTAATCTAGCAGATAGATAATTTCAATTGAAATCAACTTTTGGGGCAGATAAAAATTTCCCATTTTTTCACTTTAAGGCAATGCTTCTTTAATGTTTGCTTCAACTTTTTCCATTATCAAGGACTTCCACATTTCTCTAAGTTAGAAAAATGCCCATTTAAGGTGCCCCACGTCTTATCTCACATGCTCCAGCAGAAGTATTCTTCCACACAAGAGCTGATGCTGACTATGTAGTTTTGCCTTGTTCCGCTGAAGGAAACCCTTCACCTGAGATTACGTGGTTTAAGAACGACATCGATGTGGTAAGTTATTTACTTATAATTTTAGTTGACATTAGAACCCAAAAATTACGTCAATGCCTTCAATTACAAAAGAAATCTTGCCCTGCCAAAGAAAATGCTTGAAAGCAAATCTTTTTTCAACCTTAAATTAGCCCATTCTCGGAGGGAATGTAATGGTCAACGCCTACTATTAAGGAGATAATGTTGAGCCATTTTGCAAAACATTTATCACCCTAATGCTGCCATCTGCTGCAAATGGAACCCACTCTGGAATTGACGCCATCTGAGATTTGATTGAAATTTTTATGCCCCTAATCTGTGTCGATGTTTAAAAATAGCACCATGCAAAGACAAACGATACATTTTACATTTGTC